CTCGTCACAAGGCAACACGCCAGATGACTCTCACTCACACCTTAACTTTAGTAGAAGCAAATGTCATCAGCTGCCGACATTTCAAATGGTTGCGAATCTAGCTTCGGCTGTCCGGGAAGTTACACGCGGTTTGATCTGGAGGGTTAACATTTCTTTCTGTGCGCCTGGTGGGCCACACGGATGATTAGTGTGTTGACAGTTATGATGTGCTCCAAGGTTACAGAACCGGAGTTCTTCACAGAACGACTTGTAAACTCAAGAAGGAACTTTTTTTTTTTTTTTTTTCTCACAAAAAGCGTACCAAGAATAAGATCATGACTCAGAAACCACTTTTCTAAACAGATTTCCATACAAAATAACTTCAGATCTAATTTTCAGATTCTTGTACAGTACTCTATTTCAACAAGAATAAAACAGTAAGTATGCGAAAACTGCAGCACCACAAGGATTGAGCCACATTACTAGTGTAATTAGACAATAGGACAGTCTTGGAACAGCCAGGCAAAATATTCGAAAGGCCCCGTCACGGCTGTGCACTGGGAGTCCAACGAGGACTTGCACACCGTGAGACAGTACAAACGCCTTGTGCAGATGGTGCAGGAGCAGAGCGGCGCTGGCTTGCTCGTAACAGAAACAACATGAATGCAACTGACAATCTAGAGGCAGACAGTGGCCTTATTTGCACGCTGAAATCCTGATTGCGTCCCTCTAGCCCACACACCGCTCACTGTGCAACCCTCTTTCGACGAGTAGACAAACAGTGCAGGATTCATTTCAGTGAAATCTAGGCCCCTCCGTCTGACCGAAATCAATTCTAGGTCAGTACTGCAGTACCACAGGGCAGGGGTGTTTTCCTCTTAGCCACCATCTTGTCACCGTAGTATGATCCTTTCCCCTAATTTCACGGTTACATAGTACATCCAACCCATAAGAACTTGGAAGTTCTAGTTTTAAACTTAGAGTTTTTTTTTAATAGTTCCCACAGTTACACATGTAGAACATGGAATGAATTTCCTCATTAGGCCCTTGACTACACTGTCTCTTGACTGTCCATTACTTTGTAAACAATCTAGGCAGATAGCAATTCATGGGTCACTTCTATGATAGTCTTCATCATCCTGATTTTCATCACCTTCTTCATCTGCTTTAGTTTTGTCAACTTCCGCAGCATCATCTTGTCCACTTTCTTGAGGCTTATTTTTATTCCAAAAACTCAGATTCACACTCAAGTTTTGCTCTTGTAGTCCAGAACGAGCTTAAGTATAATTTCCTCCTGTGTATTATCCAAACTCAGCATTTCTTTTTTGTTTTTTTTGGTGGAACCGGATTTTGAACTCAGGCCCTTATGCTTGCCAGGGAAGCGCTTATTCCACTGAGCCATCTCCCCGGCCCGAAACTCAGCATTTCTAAAGGACTTGTCTCATGAACTCGGTCCACTCCTGGGACAATCATTACTATCTTCAAAGTGCTGAACAATACAAGTCTTATAGAAGAGACACTCCGTCACAGTAGTTGGGTTGATCAGATATCCTTTACAAATGTAGCAGGTAATGTAAGGATTAAAATCTGCCAAGTGTTTCCTTTGCGTAGCCATTCGCAGTTAGCTGGCTTTAGTGGCTCGAGCAAAGAGGGGGAGTAAGTGGATGCGAAGTCTGATCCCAGGAGCTGGTGAAGCAGGTCCCAGCAGGATGTTCTCAGACATGAGAGCTAACACCCAGCTTTACCACGAGATTGCTGATCATCACTCCTTCTGGCGGGTCTGCTTTCCCATGTCTTTCTCACAGAGGCCACGATCTGGGGGGCCGCGCGGGGTGCATGGTTGGCGAGTGCCTCCCTCCGATTTTTGGAGGTCTATGTTTGTTTTTTTTTCTCTTCATCAAGTTGTTGTTTTTTAGGTTTCTCACTACTAGTTCCAGAAGAGAATGTATTGTACTGGTGTTCTCTACTCTTCCATTTTTAGTCCCAGCCTATTTCTTAAGGAGACACATGAGGAGCACCCGCAAGGTCTAAAGCATGTAGCTGGAGGCTGCTGAAAGTTTGAATGATCACACTAGGAATCCAGGGAGAGCAGCTAAGACATTAGAGAGACGTCAGAGAGACGTCAGAATAGGGATCTGGTGCCAGAAGCCAAGCGGCGACCCCGTTATTAGAATAAGGGCCTCCCTGGCTTGGATGCTGAGTTGGGGAGGGGATGTCTTTGTCCTTGATGGGGTATGAACAGTTGTACAATGCCTCTGCGGACATACAGTGCCAGTCAGACTTGGTCAGGCCGTATTTAGTGTGCTGGGCGAGGATGGAAAGTGTTCCGGTTTTTGCTTTTTCTTTCCAGCAGAGGACGAGCTTACTCCTGAGGATGCTGCAGTTTTGCTGTCAGCTGATTACGCCAGAACTCTAGCAGGGGAGCTGTGGGTATTTGCGACTATACCCTTGCTATCCCGAGAAGCACTTGCCCAGGATGTGCCTTTGCATACGTGCTGAGCGTCAGGGCTGAGCTTGTCCCCCAACTCTTGATAAAATGTGAGGTTGCTTTCTCAGATAGCTCCCCAGAGCACAGACTGCCCCGCTGGGCTATGTTGGTCAGTACATACTGTGAAAGCCCGTTTTCCTGCAAGCCCAAGGACAGCTGGGTCCTCTCTTTGTCAGTAGATGGAAGAAGAACCTCTTCCAAATACGTAGGAGGAGGAGCTTCTGAGCCAAGATGCTACACCACTCGTAGTTTCCTTGACTAGAGGAGTGGATGGCACTGAGAGACCATCAGGCTCTCTGTAAATAATAATGATGAGAATATATGGAGGCTGTTCTTTGGCATGTGCCATGGAAGTGTAAATGAAAATGACAGTGAAATGCTACTTCACGTTTATTATTATAGCCAAAATTCAGAATATTTATATCTACACAAAATCCTGTACATTAATAAAGTAGCTTTATTAATAATTGCCAGAATTTGGAAGGAACCAAGATGGCCCAGTTTTCTTGGAAGAGGGGTGGTCCACCGACATCACTCCTGAGTTCTCATCTCTGCCCAATCTTCAGTGAGCTTCACTTCTTGGCAGCATTTAACTCAGTGGGAACTATCCTTTTATATTTGCAGTAAAGAATGGAGCTTAAAACAAAGTAGGAAGGAAAAAAAAAAAAAGACTAAGAACGTCACGAATTAAAGGAGACTAGGGAAACAGGATCACTAAATACAATACGGGACCTGGGCATGGTGGCTCGTGCCTTTAGTTCCAATTACTTTGGAGGCTGAGGCAAGAAGTTTGAAAGCTTAAGACTAGCTTGGGAAACTTAGTGAGACCCTACCTCAAATGGAGGTAGAACATGTGCCTACTGTACATGAGGCCCTGCGTTCAGTCTTCCGTACCTCAACACAAAAAACCCAAGAAAACAATGTTGGATCCCAGATTGGATTCTGGCCTGCAAAGAGGGCATTAGTGGGTAAAACTGACAAGTTAAAACTTTGTAAATAGATTATTTCATAGTACTGAATTAAAGTTACTTTTCTTTGTTCATTAATTATGATGTGGTAATGTGAGGTGTGAATATTATGGGAAGAACATCAGAGAATTTTCTTCAGCATCTTGCAATTTTTCTGTAAGTGTAAATAATTTCAAAATTAAACAGGAGAAAAGGAAGGGCAGGTAAGAAGAGGAGAAAGAGTAGAAGAAAAAGCAAAGAGACATGACAAGCATCAGCAGCACAAGCTGACAGTGAACTTCTCACCAGAGATGTTGGAGGGCAGCGAACAGCGGAAAATTATTTTTAAAGTGCTCAGAGGAAAAAACCCTGACAATCTGGAAATTTATTTCTACGAAATATCATGAAGATGGGGGCAAACTGTGTAAAAGTTAAGCATATTTTTTTTCAAGGAAAGTTTCATTTCAGTATTTACTACATGTAAGAAGTTCTTCGGGCGGAAAGGAAATGACTCTACATAGATACTGGAAATGGCAAAATGGAATCAAGAGCACCAGAAACGGTAAATACGTCTGCCCTACGGCAGGGCGTTTTTCCCAGGTGTGGACCTGGCTGGGGACCCGGCATGCTTGCTGGGGCGAGCGCCTACCTCCAGGTGTTGACGTCGGCAGGGCCCGGCTAAAACGAGACACCTAGAAGACTGGCAGTTGAGCAAATAAAGAAATACCTAGGCAAAGGCGTGCTCAGGGCCTGGGACCTGGATGTCGCTCCCGGATGATGACAACCCTGCTGAAACGCTTCTGGCCCTTCGCGAGGGGCGAAGCGTGGAGTCTCCAGGCCAGGCCAGGCCAGAAAGCCCAGCCGCCCTGCGTGCGCTAGCGCTCCTTCTGCCCCTTGGCGACTGCCAGGGCTACTTTTGGTGGCGTGTGTCACGGTTAAGGCACCTTCTACTGCTTGTGTCCTCTGAGGAGGAAACCCACCTCTGCAGAGGTTGGGGCTGCAGAAGTTGGGGCTGGAAGATAACAGACGAGATTACAAGGAAGAAAGGACATCAGAGATGTTCTGAAAGATAAGTGGAATTTTCCAAGTGGAAGAAGGAAGTGCAGTCAGACCGAAAGGCATAGAGGGACAGACAGAGAAAATACCTTCTTGGGTAAGACGAGAGGTGGGGCGGGCTGCCGTCGGGCCACAGCGGGCGCCCGGGCCTCGTCTTTTGCCACCAGAGCTATTGGTTCTGGTGGTAGTTGTGGTCCAGCCACTTTCTGGTGGCCTCTTGCTCACAGCCCTAGTACTTTACTCCTTTTTGGCTTTTAGAGGTTTTCGGTTTGGGAGAGACCCAAGGACCAAGGGAAAGAACCGGGAGCAGGGAGGGCGGGCAGGCGGCCTTAGAGGAAGCAGCACGAAGCCGCGAGCCGAGCTGCAGTTTGGATGCACCCAGAGCCTGCGCCCCAAGGTGTCCACCCGGCGCCTGCTCCTGGCAAGGTCGCGTTTATGGAGCCCTGCGCAGGAGCGCGCCGCCCGAGACCGCGTCGTCTTCAGGAGGCTCGAAGTCACCGGGAAGCCGGACCCGCGGGAAGACGGCCGCGATGACACGGACCAGGCGGCGCGAGGCGGGCCGCGAACGGCTGCTGGCCCGCGAGCCCGAGCGGGAGGAACGAGGCCGGGAAACTGCGACCGCGCGGCGCCCGGGGCGGCCCGGAGGGGCAGAGCGCCGCG